ACACTTAAATAACTGGAAAAAATATGAATTGTTCGTGGGTGGGCAGAGCCAATATAATAAAAATGACAATTCCACCCAGAGTATCGTGTTGAATATCTTGTATACTTAAAAAGAAAAACAAACTGTACAGATTCAGTTTCATGTATGAGCCTCTCCTGAGTGTACAAGTGCTCGTTTTAGTTGCTGTTCATTAATTTTCTTTTAAAGAGAAAATACAACCTGACTTCTTTTTAAGAGTTTGATTCTGGATTTATTAAAGATCTAAATTAAACTATCTCCTTGTTTATTAAAGATCTAAATTAAACTATATCTTTGAAACTAATTCTAATCAGTGTTTTTCTACTAGCCTATAGAATAAAAAGGCCAGATTAGAGCCCTGCCTCTCCTGCTTAGGTGGTATAGCTATTCTGGCAGGCCACATGACCTTTCCTCAATTATAAAGTGACAGTATCAGTGATGAATAGAAGCCCTGGGTTCAAGTCCTGCTCTTGCCACATGCTACCTGTTCTATGTGGCCCCAGGCTAGATCCCTAAACTTCTCAGTGTCTCAATCAGTTGTCAAAGACTAAGTTTCTGAGCAGAAGCTAGTCTGCTCTGACAGGAGCCTACACCAATGAAATTACAGATTCAGACAAGGAAAAAAAAAATATTCAAAGTTGTTAGGATTAAATTTGATTCCATAGGCAAAGCCAATCCTAGCCATAAAGAATCATAAACAAGAGCTATATGAAAAGCCTGTAAAGGATGACCATGGTCATTCAGTGAGTCTGCATCTTCATAAAATAGCAGTGCCTGCAGCTTTAAGTTCATTCTCTCCCCACTCAGAGGGCCAGGCTCCAGCCCTCATCCCCATGGTCACCTATAACAGGTGAACTGCCATGACTCCTTCTCATTTGCCTACAAATGTCTGCCAGAAAGCTTTTTCCTCCAGTCTTGTCTCATCCTGCCTCTCCTTTACTGACAAATTCCTCCAAATAAACATGTCTACACCGAATGCCTACACGTGCTCACCACCTCTTTCTCGAATCCCTCACAAGATGGTTTCCACTCCCATCGAAGCACTCAAATAGCCTCTGGAGGCCACTAACCACCTCTCTTTCTGGATAACTTTGCTTTCCCTCGGCTTCAGAAACTACTACAGAAAACACTACCCTGTTTGTGACTTCCCTTGCCAATTTCTCCTCCTTTGCTCAATGTCTTCTCCTGACCTAGAAGACATAGGTTCCCACAACGTTCTCTCCTTGGTCCTGGTCTCACTGTACAGCCTGTCTTAACTCCGTTACTCTCTGGCCTCAATCACTTCCATGCAAGGTCATGTCTCAAGAGCATTTCAAACTGCCACCATCAGCGAAACCTGTGCTCAGCTGAGCTCATCTTTCTCCCCTCCATCCTGCTCCTCTCACTGTACTTCAACAGTACCACATCCCAAATTAAGCCCCAGGCCCCTCCACCCTCCCAATCTCGAAGATTATCGGTGTTATCCAACTCTTCCAATGTCAGCACGTCCTAAAGAAGAAATCAATTCCTAAAACCCACACCACCCCCACCCCAGCTCTTTGTCGTTAATCTCTTTACGGATTCCCACAGCTACCACTGCCTTAGGGTGGATTTCAGTGGGTCCTCATTCCCACCTCCTTTCAGGTCTTCCCATCTATGCTTTCCACCCCACCCCCATGCCTATGAAATCCTTCCTAGTGCCACCAGAATAGTTTTCCTCATGCAGAGATCTGGTCGTGGCCAGAAGAAATCCTAGTGCTGCCGAGACCTGGTAACATGCAAACTCTTTGCCTACACCACCAGCACTGCACCCCATCTTTCCGGGCTTATGTCACTACCTGAAGTCATATACTGCTTTAGCCCAACTGGATCACTCCTACTTGCCCTAATCTCCCACTTGGGTTCCTCTGCTCATCTCCTGTGCCTGGAATGCCCTCCCTCTGCCCTCACCTGGTGATTTCTACCCTACATCCTTCAAAACCCAACTCAGATGCCAGCTTCTCCCTGTGTGACGAATGGTAAAAGCAAAAGCAAAAATCACTTAGTATGTTCCAAGCACTGTGATCTAAAGGTCAAAAAGTCATCACAGCCAGTCAGAATTCCTATATTAAGTACACTACAGATCCATGAATTTAATTAACCCTGAGGGTAACCATGGAGATGCCCCTTTACCCATAATGGGCAAAGAATTGAATGTTTGGCTTAATGAAAAGTTCGGACTAATGACGGCCACATTTCAATCAATCAATTAACACTTATTAAGTGCCTACTACATTCCAGGCACAGCTCTAAGCACCTGGAACACAAAAAGGGGCAAAAGACAGTCCCTGACTTCAAGGAGCTTACAACCTAATACAATTTAACTACTGCTGAAGAGTATTTTTAAAAAGATAGCTAAGGATCATACCCACATTAGGGTCATCATTTCAAAGAATTAAATACAGCAAAAAGTTTTGTTGTTGTAGGGGAGGGAAGTAATCCTCATTTGGATATTACAAACAGGAGTTTATTATATAAACTATCATGCAGAAATAAGATATCTAGGGAGGACAGGAGCCAAGGTTTTCCAAGGAACGGTGAATGAAAGTGACCTTTTCTTCTAGAGTCAACAGCATTTATGAGCCATATGTACAAAATGTACAAACAATTAACACTGCTATTCATTCAATTCAGAAGTCACAAATGACTTTCCATTATCTTATCCACCTCAATCATGGTAAATCTCTTCACTTACACCTCGAGGATTTCCTGTCAAGATTCCAAGCCATTTTCTCCATTTTCTAGCCCTGTGGCTAAGGGGGAGTAAAGGAACAAGTGAGGCGCTGTGCTAACTCCCAATAACAGTCTTTCCAGCATGCTACTACGGGGCAGCTAGGTGGTACTTAGGTGGATATAGAGCACCAGGCCTGAAGTAGGAAGACATCTTCCTGACTTCAAATCCAGCCTCAGAGACTTACTAGTTGTGTGACCCTGGGCAAGTCCCTTAACCCTGTTTGCCTCAGTTTCCTCATCTGTACAATGAGCTGAAGGTCACGGCAAACCACTCCAGTATCCTTGCCAAGAAAACCCCAAATGGGTCACAAAGGGTCAAAAACAAGTGGACTGAACAACTGTCTCAAAAGGCCCAAGCTAGTTATCAAATAAGAAAGGAACTGAAGCTTAGAGATCTAAAGTAACCTAGATTTACTTACCTCTTTTAACGGGCTAAAAAAAAAAGTACTGGAAATGCTCATTGTATATAGTCTGATGCTTAATCACACATTTTAGGTGTCTTCTATCTGCTGATGGGCAATCTTACTCTCCAATAACCACATTTTACTAGATTATAAACTTCATTAAGGGACTTGTCTTATTCATGTGTTTGGTTTTTTTGGGAGGCAAATGAGGTTAAGTGACTTGCCCAGGGGTCACACAGCTAATAAGTATCTGAGGCTGGATTTGAATTCAGGTCCTCCTGACTCCAGGGCCGGTGCTCTATCCCCTGTGCCACCTAGCTGCCCCTTTATTCATCCTTCTATCCCATCTTTCCATTCTGGGCATGGTACAGGAGGCACATAATTTATCTGAACTGAATCTCAGGGAACGACTTCCTCATTCCTAGTTTTTCCTCCTATCAAAATGACCTGGGCTGCTGGCAGTAAGTGTGAGAGAGACTAAAGGTCCACTTTCCCTCATATATTATCATACTAGGGGCCACATCAAAAGAGAACTGCTAAGGATCCTTTGAGCTCCCTGCTAGGACTCTCAATCTCAAAAGACACTTGTACTGCAGTGTGCAACAACTGGTAAAATCGGATCAAATAATCAGCCATACAGTTCGGGAAACTCCACCAAGTAGGAACATAAGTGTCTTACACACATCAACTTCTCTGTGCATTTACCTTTCCCCTGAAACAAAGCTGCATGCCCAAATCCCAGGGGTTTTGCAATATCGGAGCCCATGAAATGAGTCAGCATTTCACAGCGGTTGCAAACAGAATGTAAACTTCTGATACCTTTCAGCCTTTCATCTAAAGAGACTTTGAAACTCGAGAGCCCTAAGCCACCTACAAATAAATACAGCTCGTTACGACTTAGTTTGGACTAGCTTGGAGTCAACAGCTGATTAAGGCAGGCTCCAGGAAAGGGGAAGGCACTGATTCCAGAAAGAATGCTGGGTCATGTGGTTATTAACCCGCACCATGGCTGCACCAAGAAGCAAGGAGGGGAGCTTCAGAAGCCGCCGACCCTCAGGGACCAATCCCCCCATGAAATCAACATTTAACCTGCGCCTGCTGTGTGCCGAACACCAGGCTAGGAGCTGGAGGGGACCCAACCTCGAAAGTGGACACAGCCCCTCCCTAGCCCGCATGGAAGACTCCCAGCCTAGCTAGGGAAGGAACGCGGTGCCCTGCACGGGGATGGCGATTAATAAATGCTTATTAAACCGAAACGAGCATGCCCCGATGGCTGCGGTGCCCAAGGGCAGAAGGGGTAGACAGAGGTCTCGCAGGCGGACGACAGTGAACGGAAGGCTTCTGAAGGGCGGGGGGAAGGTCGCGTGTCCCCGATGGGAGGGAGGTGCGGGCGGGGGGCGGTTAATTCAGGAGGGCTTCGACATCAAAGGGCAGCCCCCCAGGACCCCATGCCCCAAGCGGACAGCATGCATTCAAGGGCCCGGATGGAATCCTCTTTCTCCTCCCGCCCCTACACCTATCTGTCGCCCCCACCCCACCTGTCACGTTCCCCCCCCCACCCCGCCCAGGAAAACAAGAAGTACGCAAGGCCAGGAGGTCCCGGGAGGAACAAGGAACCCAGCCTCCCCGGGGCGGGGGTCGGGGTCGGGGGTCGCCGGTGCTGCAGCAGCTCCGAGCCCCGGGCCCCCCACCTCTCCCGCGGGGTGGGGGGGTGCGCGTGCGCAGAGCGCGCCTCCATTCCTGACCCAAAGCAGCCGGGAAGTGGGAGGGGGCGGGGGCCGCTGCGGCCTCTCGAGGATCCCCGCCGCGTACCCCCAGCCGGCTTACCCGCGCCCAGGAGGACAGGCAGGAGGAGCAGAGCGCACAACATGGCTCCGTTGGACGCAGCAGATCTGCAATGCAGGGAGTCAGATGATCCGCCTCGGCTAAAAACCCGGCGTACCCAGAGACCCGCACTGCGCAGGCGCGATCCTGGCCCGGCCCTCGCCTCCGCCCCCCGCCCTCAGCCCGCCTGATCTTGACTCAGCAGCCCCAGAGCGCCTGCGCGAGCCTGGGCGGGGCGGGGGAGGAAAGGAGGTGTGGAGGAGGCTGGGGGAGGGGCACATGGGAGAAAGAAATGGAAATGATAGAGAAGGAGAAGAGAGGAGGAGCCTGGGGCCTCTGCTTTTGAACCATCTGACTCTCATCCTCAGGAGAGAGGGCAGTGGGAAGGACAGTAAAGCTGGCGTTCAGGAATCCCCTTAGAAAGACTGCCAACGCTCTTGCTACAATGTTACCCCTTCTCCATCCTGCAACAAGAAATTCCTAGGGCTTGACCCGGTCCTCCCTTCACCTTCTTAGTAATAACTGGCATTATATAACTCACGTTTATAGCATTGCATAGACAGGGAGGATGAAGCCAGGCCAGCACTAGGGAGGGCACAGCTCAGAGATCTGAGTTCAGATAAGACCTTGGACGCTTACTGGTTGTGGGACCCTGGGCAAGTCACTTAACCAAGTTCTGCCTCAGTTTCCTAACTGTAAAATGGAGATAATAATAGCATCTACATTCCAGAGTTGTGAAGATCAAAAAGATGCAAAGTTTCTGCTATATAAATGCTAATTCTTATTCGTTCTGTGCCTGCACAATTGTCTGTCCTTCCTTAATGTCCATCCAGTCTAAAGGTCTGGCTGGCCTGAGATGCTTCAGAAACATTTGCATAGGCCTTCCTTAAATTTTCAGTAAGATTTGGGATTGTAGAAGTTGTGGAGTGGGAAGAGAAAGTAGGGTGCACCAATCAAAGTCTATCAAACACCCCTCCCCAAATAATTTGTTAATTTTCTTTTGGCCAATCAATAGACCAGGCTTCTACTGTGGTACGTGCTAGGAATACAACGACCAACATAAAGCAACCACTGCATTGTGGGGAGCCACCCCCCAAAAATTATTTTCTTAAAGAGTTTTGAGAGGGGGCAGCTAGGTGGCACAGTGGATAGAGCACCAGCCCTGAAATCAGGAGGACCTGAGTTCAAATCTGGCCTCAGACAAAACACTTGACCCGTACTAGCTGTGTGACCTTGGACAAGTCACTTAACCCCGATTGCCTCACTAAAAAAAAAAAAGAGTTTTGGGAGGCCCTGGGAAGTTAAGCAATTTTGATCCAGATTACATAACCTGCCCAAGTGTCAAATAAGGTTAGCTACTCTACCACTCTGTCTCTCCTTAACTGAATATAAGCATCAGAAAGTACCATTAAGACAGTTCCGGAGGAGAATGTTCCTATATTCCTCAAAGCCTAAAGTACAGCGTAGAGGTTTCCTCCTCCAGGCTGCAAAGAAAGGGCAGGTAGGTGGTGCAGTGGATAGAGCATCAGTCCTGGAACCAGGAGGACCTGAGTTCAAATCCGACCTCAGACACATAATACCTACTAGCTGTGTGACTCTGGGAAAGTCATTGAACCCCAATTGCCTCACCAAAAAAAAAAAACAAAAAAACAATTATTCCCCTCTCCAGATGTCTCAATGGATCTATGTTCTCATCAATGTGAGCAATCACAACTACCAACTACAATTCAGCCACAATTTCCCATCCTGTGTGGATTCTTGCCTAAGGTCTACTCAAAGTTCGGGAGGAGACTTTCTCTTAACATTCCATGAGTACTGGTACAGTACTTGGGTGATCCCTACTGACCCACTTCCTGTTTCCATCATCTTCCTAAGTGATATTCTTTTCTCTACTTCTTATTCTCCTCTATTAACATATATGTATGTATATATATATATATATATATATATATATATATCTCATGCCTTTCAGAGTTTTAAAAAAAAATCTAGCTTCTTGATGGAAGCACACAAACCTGAAGTCGAAAGGCCAGAAGGTATAAGCTATTCCTTATACTGGAGAGAAGCTTAGAAGTCATTTCATTCAAACCCCTCATTTTACAATTGAGGAAACTGAGACCCAGGGAGGAGTGGTTTGCCCAAAGTCACATAGCCAATTATCACCAGGACCAGTATCAATAACAATAATAATAACTGACATTTAGAAAGTATTTTCTGAGCCCTTTTGGAAACACCAAACATCCATTCTTAAACACAAAAGACTAAGTCAGAAATGGGATCTCTTCCCCTCCCCTTCATGGCATGGCTTTCTCTTGAGGTTTTGGTCACAGGGCTGGCTTTTCACTTCCCACTTGAAGGAGCTAGATGGAAGAAGGACTTGCTGAAATGAGGAAGTGATTCTGAGTCAACAGTGAAATATGAGTTTAGTAATGCTGTGGAAGATTGGTTTAAACCAGAGGAGAGGGGAAGGCAAGGAGGACTTCAGGTGATTGTCATATAAAGACTAAATCTGACCAGGGATGACAAACTAGAGGACAGTAATAGGAGCAGATGGGGGACTTCCCAAGCTGAGTACCCCATTGAAGCAATGGTTAAAGTGCTATAGAGCTGAGATTTTCAGAGTAAATCACCCCTCCTACCATCATCCTTGAGATCTTGTGTCTGTAGAACCAAGAATCTACTATACATGGGGATGAAATGGGCCATGGAGGGAACTGAATTCTAAGGAGTTGACAAAGGGTTCAGTGGTATAATGGACCCCATTCTTATTGCCATTAGGGCCAATTGTTAACTTTCCAGTGTAAGCATTTACACCTTACAAATCAGAAAACCCTACAAATCAGGGTTTGATCTATTGTTTTATTGATTTTCTAGACTTAAAGTAATGGGGGAAATGTTTATTATGTTAATGGTAATTATGCAGATCAAACTTAAGAGTGTGTCCTATGTACTTCTCACCGAACCAGTTGTTAAAATACTTATCAGCACACACCCCTGATGAAGACCCTGGGACAGTACATTAGAAACAGGACCGGATTTGGAATGGGATCTGGGTTTGAAATTCCATGGGACACTAGGCAAATATTTAATTTCTACGGGTGTTAGTTTGCATATCTATAAAATGAGCATTTGGGGCCTCTTAGACCCTTTCAATTCTACGTTATTCTATACAGAACTATAACTAGGCTTTGTGTGACAAGGGCTTTTCCCCAGAGTACCAAGATGGAGAAGATGGAACTTTATTAAAAGGGGAGAGTCCCTCCATGCAGCTGTCCAGAAAC